TCCGAAAAAAACCTTGCACGTTAACATTACGTGAATTATCATTTTCATAATAAATCGTGATATATAAATTAATGAGAATCTTTTCTTAAAGTTTATCCTGAAAATCATGTAATCGACGGACAACATGGCATTTCGAAGAATTTTATCAAAGTTTGTTCAAATTTTACCATACATTTTACTAGTAGAATGTGTGGTAAAATTTCAAGACACTCGTGCAGTTCTTCAAAGTGCCACGTTGTCCACTACACGATTTTCAGGGTAAAGTTTAACAGAAAATTCTCTCCGTGTAATATAATTGAGCTCTGTGTTCTGTAAGAAAATTTTCGCTCTATAAGTTCCGTAGCTCTGCAACTCTTTCTTTTTTCGTTCCTCTTTCTCTCTTGCTCTGCAGCGCCTTATAGAGATACAGTGTTATAGAGCATTTTTACAGAATATACTCTCAATAGCGATTAATTACATTATATTATTAATACATTAATAATTAATTAATTAAGGAGAATACTGAGATATATTTAATACCCGCGTGGGATCTTTATACTTTAATTAGTTTTCTCGCGAATTCCAAATGTTATTAAAAGAAATTATAAAAATTGTTCCCGAGATAAGATCGCGTTCAATTTTGGCGCACTTAGCGCTTAATTTCAAGACTAATTGCATCATTAAGACGTGAGGTATTCTCAATTAAAGTAATTAAAAAAATTACATTATATCTTTCTATAATTGTTCAAATATTTTTTCGCTACAAGCTTTTCTGAACAAGACATACTTTCGGAGAGGAATTCCTCGGCCGATTCTGCACGGTATAAAAAGCAGTTAGGGGGTTGCCAAGCTCCGATTTCCTTAAATTACAGCTATACTTCGATCCGGCCTTAATTTTTTCCCACATTGCAGCGCGTTTTCCTTCGCCTCCTGTCTGCATTCCGCGACGCGCCTCGTTAGACCTGACACGTATTACTTTGCATTCCCCATAAGCGTCAGGCGCTCGCGAGGCGCGGAACGCGGCTCGCCGGAGCGAGCGAACCGGCCCGGAGCGGATTCCCGACTTGGAAGCAGCGCTTTTCCAGCTCGCCGCCGGGATTTTTCCGGAGCGGCTCGTCGGTCCCGCAGGAACGAGACCGATTGTGTCGCGCACGAGGGGGGAACCGCTGACCAAAATCTTGCACCCACTGGGCACCAGTGGGCATTACTTTATCTTATTATCTCATTTTATCTTATATATTATCTTTCGAATGCCCCAGCAATGCCTAATGCCCAGTAATGCCGCAAATCCGTACACCACAATGTCCTCAGCGGTTTTCCCCCTCGGTCGCGCCCAATCGCTCTTTCATCACCGCGGAATACGCGGATTCCAAAATCAGACAAAAGCTCTAACCCCTCCCCTCCCCTCCCCCGAGATTGATTCTTCCGGCGTCGAAATACAAAATCGTTGAATCTCGGAGGACGCAGTGGTCAAATAAAATGTTATTACGTAGGTTTTAAATATCCCATCTATAAAAAAAAGTGTGCATAGTTTAATTATCAATTTAGTCTTTATCTTTTATACAACGTAATAATAATATTAATTGCGATATTATATCGGTTACATTAATATCCTCGTTCCTAAGCGATTGCACGCGTATAAAAGAAGACTCGCCTGGAAACGTTTGGAGGACGAAACCGTTCGAGTTTTAGACTCGAATTCCTTATCAAAGCTTCTTTTATGCATCTAATCTTCGACGACGTTTTCCTCGAGGGAAGAATAAACGTTCGAGCGATCGAGGCTGTCGCGATAATTCTGGAACGCCACTGGACGGCAAGTACAAATGACAGCGTTGATCCAGCCAGGATCTACCGCAAACGGCGAACGGCGATAAGGACACGACGTCTGACGGGCGCGCCGAAGGACTTGCGATAATCGCCGATAACGGCTGGTGGAAGCGCGGCGCGGCGGCGTGTCAAGGCCCAATGTCACAACCGGGCGACGATTGCACATACGTGATATATGGGTGCCGTAATTTTCTGCCCATTAACGTCGGCCGCCGTCGCGGAAGCGTCCGTGGACGGGGAAGCACCCGTGTGCGATGCCCCCGAACGAACGGGCGCCTCGCACGCGCGAGATCCTTGACATTTCCCCGACCGACGATGCGCACGAGAGATAAGGGAGAGTCCGCGCCGTGGGGAAACGAGGGACGCGAAACTGCGATTTAACGCCGCGGTAACTTCCAACATCGAACCGCGCGAAAGTTGCGAAACGCCGAGATGGAGAAGTACGCGAGCCACCAAGGACGGTGGCTACGATCGTACGCGAGTAAAATATCGGGTCGGCCCAGTGAGCAGCGCGGTTGTTTTAGAGATACTTGCTTTTAAGGAGACAAAAGTGCCCGACATTTTTATTTTAATCCGAAATGTCGAGGAAGGTTTCCTGTTGTGAGACAGGCTCCTAATATGAGACAGCGGAGTTTCCGCTAGATCAATAGGCATCGTCTGTTGGTTTCATCATGAATTTGTTGCCCTTGGAATGAAATTTGTTTGGTGGAAAATTGGATTGTTAAGTATCGTGTAATCGTTGCGAAAAAAGATTTGTGATTGAATTTGGACGTTGAAAACCTACTATCTCATATTAGAATCCTATCTCATAATAGAGGACTTTCCTCTATTGCTATTCGCAACTTCGTCCCATCTTAGTCCGAAATTTTTTAAATTGCGATCTTTAATTTAATTTTGAATTCCCTGGCGATAACCTTCCGGTTTTGAGCTAAAGAATAACTCGGGTCCTTCCTTTTTACATCGCGTTCTTTGGGCACTCGATACAATAAAGATACAAATTCGGCGCGCGAAACGGTCCGGCGCATGCAAACGTCGCTGAAAAGCGACCGCGGGAGTGAAGGTAGAAGTCGATCAGCGGAGCCGATCTACTGCCAAGTTCTCGGTTCGGCTTGACCAGGGCCTAATTAGCTACGAAGAAATACCTGTCTATCAGATTCTCTGCGCACCGCTGCTTTCATTTCGCTGCTCACAATTGTGCAAAGAACCCGCGGGAAATTTCTCCGTTTTATGGATCATTATAGCCGAGATTTTCGGATTCTTTCTGACGTCTCGTTCAAGGACGACTTGTGGGATCGCCGACGCTTCGACAGCGCGTTTTGCAACAATTACGGTGTTCCAGAAATTGTCAGAAAGCTTCTGGAATCCTTTATAAATATTTCTCGGAGTGACAGATGTGCCTTTTTACAGCATCGAGCAGCGTGTCAGTTTAAAACGTGAACTGTTATTCGATTGGGTGCGAAAAATTTGCGCGATAATTTGAGACTTCGTCGAGCTTGTCAGGCTTTTCCAAGACACGAAGAAGTAATAAGAAATAATTATTGCTTTTCTACACTGAGAAAAATGTCCGATTAAACGTAATCGGATAATCCAATTACATAATAAGAAACGGATATATCCAATTAAATTGTATATCCGATGAGAAATACGATCGGTTTTTTACTCAACTTTCATGGGTGACTGCATTTCATCGGATAAATTTCACCGGATGTATCCATAATTTAATCGAAAAAATTAACCATCGGCAACACTATTTAACAGACAATAGACAAAAAACTTTGATAAGCTCGTACTTCCGATTATCGGTTTGTTCCCTTTAGAACGTGCTTGAAAGGGACCTAAACCCTTGGTCGAAACGTCGCATTGTATATCTCTTTATTTTATTCTATTAAACACGTGCCAGTTAAGATCGACTAAACTCACTCATTACTATTTAATCGGTTTATCCGATGACAACTTTTCTCAGTGTAATGTTTAATGTTCCGTTCGATTTATAATTATTGAATTATCGCGTATGTGAGAGATAGAAACTCTTATCAACATTTCACCGTCGTATTGGTGAGTGCACTGAGAAAAATTTCCATCGGATAAACAAATTAAACGGTGTTTTCGACGGTTAATTTTTCCGATTAACTTTCCCGATTGAATTATGTAAATATCCGATGAAATGCAGTCACCGATGTTGATCGAAAAACCGATCATACCTTTCATCGGATATATGCAATGTAATCGGACAAGTTCGTTTCTTATTACGCCAGTGGATTATCCGATTATATTCAATTGGACATTTTTCTCAGTGCGGCGATAGCATAAACGCGCCGAAATAAAGAAACAGCGGCGAACAAATTTCGTCAGGCCTGCAATGTCTATCGATCGCGTCTTCAAGCGTCGTACCTCCGGAAACGAAAACGTACGATCCGTGACCGCGTTACGTCAGGAACGGGCTTTCAAATCCAGCCACAATCCTTCCACGCTATAGCGTGCGCGCGCGAGAGAGAGAGAGAGAGAGAGAGAGAGAGAGAGAGAGAGAGAGAGAGAGAGAGAGAGAGAGAGAGAGTGACGGAGAAAAAGGGGGGAAGGAGAGAATGAGCGGCGCGAGACCGGAATACATTATCGTTTTTCGAAGTCGCGCGTATCTAGAGACAGCGATATCCATAAGCTGATTAAAACGGAAGAGCTCCGGCGATAACACGAAAGAAAAATCAATATAGCGAAATGGAGAACCCGCGGAACCAACCAGCATTCGAATATACCGAGGGACGCGGTCTCGCGCCAAGTATAGTACCATCTTTCGTATAAAACACTCTCGAGTCCTGCAATTCAAATTTTACACGACGACAGTCTTAATATAATATGTTAAGACGTCAAAAGGAACGCGGAGCAACATTTCCAGACTTAATATCTACGCGAGAAGAGGACGCGCGCGTGGTGAGCGGAAAATCAAAAGAGAGGAAGAGACTGTGTTAGATGCCGTCATTATCCTTTACGTAAATCCCCGCACGGAGGGAATGCGAAAGTGTAACTCGGCGCGGGTAGTGCCCCCCCTCCCCCCCCGTACAAATCGCACGGCGGATGGAAAAGTCGCCCGACGCGTTTACCTGCCGCGAGAGGAAGGCGGAAAACGCGCGAGGGAAGGCGGAGGAAGAGGGGACAGGGCGTGGGGGCGATAAAAAAGAAGAGAAAGGCACGATAATTACCAAGGATTCGTCCCCATTGTCAGCGCTCATAGCCCCCCGCTGGCGCTAGAGGGACGCGAACTCGTCGCCCGTCGTCGTCGTCTTCGTCGCCGGGCTGTTCGTTGCTCCTCTTCGCGGCTACGCTTCCGGCAGCAGCAACAGCAGCACGAGCCGGCGGCGCTCGTCATTCTGCGCCGAAGCCTGCCCCCCAAGCGGGACCGTTCCCGAGGGACTCAACCTGTGATAGCCGCTCCGGGTCTAATCTGTCATCCAGCATCGCGCCGCACGACGCCGAAGAGTACCGTCTTCCCCCCTTTTACGACTGTCTGCTTCCTCTGGCACAGAACGCCGCTTTTGAGGGAAAATTGAAGCGTGAGGGGAGAAGAGGGAGGACGCTTGTGAGGCCTCCAGGTGGATTTGAAGTTGTCTCGAAGCGGTAGTAGAGTCAAGGGAGGAATGGAGTACACGTTGAAGAGAGGGCCGTTATACGGGGTCAAAAGTCTCGGACACTTTGAAAACTAATGACTCTATGTTAAGTGGAAAAAATGCGCAATGGTAATTGAGAGCGAACAAAAGTGTATTTTGATGATAAAGGCAGTGTATTTTACACGCAAACTTAGAGTGTCGATTGACAACGGAGAGAGATAATGGTAGAGGCGAAGAATTCGGAAATAATACTGGACCGGGTGATAACGCGTACGAATCGACTTTACAGACGCATAAGTAAAAGTAGTTTCAATTTTATTAATAAGATTGTGATTTCTTCTGCTTTTAAATTGTACGCTCTTTGACAGCCTTTTTACTTCTTTATTGGATACAAATTTCACTTTTAACCGTCTTGATATATTACTTCCCCAAAATTGTAACTATTGGGAAATTTTGCCGAGCGCATAATAATTAACAAAATACGTTGGACAAATGAAATTATCGATGTTACGCTTAAAGATTTGAACTACGAGGAAATTTGAATAATAAAGAAACGTCAGTTGAAAAATTACAAAAATAATAGCTGAATGGATATCGTCATTTAAATTGTCGGTTTCACCCTCTCAAATTTTAACTGTGAAGGAACTTTAATACGAGGGATTACAAAAATAACGGTTGACCGAGGACCGCGATGTAATTACATCGGATAATAATCGGATACGAATAGTATCTCATACGTGCGCGTAAGGAAAGTAAAAAAAAGAGCGCCGTTAATAATAGCCGAGATTAGATAACTCTTTCTCATACGACTCTAAGTACTGTCATACTTGATGCATGTTTGTCAACATGTCATCGGACTCTCATAAAAGAATAGCTACGCGAAGCGATAGAGACTATAGTAAATCTCTAGGGACATAGGAATACAGCGGTCGGATAGGGATATCCTGTCACGTCGAGAAAGAGAGAAAGAGAGAGACAGCCTCAAGGATCTGAGGAGAACAGTAGCAATCGTACTCTACAATTTTTAGAAGTGCACTATAAACTACGACTCTATCGGTTGACATAGTCGCAACGTCTCGGAGTACCCTCGCGGAGTACTTGAGACCCCCCCCCCCCTCAGGTCGCTCCCTTCGCGCACTCTCACGAGAGCCAGAGCGAGCGAGAGGAAGCGAGAGAGAGAGAGAGAGAGAGAGAGATGGAGAACAATGCGGCAAGTGCAGGCGCGAGAGAGCCCGAGAGAGGACACTGACACACGAAACGTCAACGACACCTCCGAGCATGTCGTCGCTCCTCTCTCTCTTTCTCTCCCTCCCCCTCCCTCTTCCTCCGTCGCTCGCCCTTCGAACCTCCCCTCGGAATTTCACTCACTTCACGATTCACTGCGTGATTCCCCGTTGCTCCGAAAATGCACTTGCGACGTCGCGGTATTTCCGAGACGAACGCGCGCGAACGAACGCGAACGAACGAACGAACGAACGAACGGGCGGGCGGCGACTTCTCTCTCTCTTTCGGCCCAGCGAGCGAGTGCCGTTCCCCGCGAACGGAACGGAACGGCACGGTACGGTACGGTACGGTACAGGGAGACCGGGGGACCGCCGCACGGGGGTCCCCGCTCTTCAGATTGCGAAAGGAAACCCTCAAGGCGGGACCGGGGGACGCGCGCGCGTGAGGCCGCGACGCGCCGGGAAAATTGCGGGCCGAGCCGATTCGGATCCCGCGAGCTTCCCTCGCGGATCGGACCTCGGTGTGCGACTGTGTGGCAACCACCGTCACGCCGGAGATGTGTGCCGGTGTGTGACGGACTTTTTCCCACCATGACGAGGCACGGGGTGGGGAGCAGGTACTTACGACGGTACCGCCATTTGTTGTAACGGAGGTGCTCCCCTCGGCTTTTGTTGAGGAGAGGGTATCCAGGGACGGATCGATGCGCCTCAAAGCTCGACGCTGAGGTGCCAGAATGGCGCCAAATTTTGGAGAAGAGACCCCAGGGGCGCGACGAGTCTCCCTCTCGGGGATGAAAACTCTCGACTTTCCCGGCGACTTTAAAAAGATTTTAATTTGACAGATTTTTAATTCAAACGCCGTCAGGTATTTAATGCTGAAGCTTTCGCGTTGTAAAATTAGTAACACGTGAAAGCAATCAAACTTTTGTCTAAAGAAAAAAGAAACTTAAAACACGTGGGAAATCTTAAAAAGAACGTAGCGAGTTTAGATGGACTTTAGGGGACTCGATTTAATTTAAACTTTCGTCTTCGCTCTTGAAGGTAAACAAATTAATTATAGTTTTGTTCAGGGAGAATTCAGACGCCTTAGACGAGATGATTTATAAAATCCTATAACAGGATCGGGACAAAGTGGACCTAATTTACGACAAGAATTTTTCATGGAAAGCTCATACGTAAACTTTCGCGCACACTTTTGTCCCAAAAAGTTCCGCAAACTGCACTTTCTACGGCAGCGTGCGACGAAATCTTACCATTTTGTTGGCCTGGTCCGAGGCCCTGCTCTCCTCGAGGCTTGCGTTCCGACGCCCGTAAAGAGAGATTTCACGCGCCATGTTTAGAATTGTTATATCACGTTGCTATTTTTGTTGTCACTTTCTGAAAAGAATAGAACGACTGCCAGCTTCTCCATTTCTGGAACTCCGCTCGGTGAAAAGATACTCAAGTACGTTGCGGAATCGAGAAACCTCACGCTCATTTCTCTAATATTACACGACTATTCTACTAAAGTTTTCTCCTGCAAACGTTGTTTCTTGCTCCTGTTTATATGTTCGCAGATTTCACTCGGTCCATATTTTACTCTTCCTCTAGAAATGGCTTCAAGTATCGTGCAACCCCTTCAAAATGACAATAACGATCGAAACCAGTAAATGATACAAAAAGAGATATCGAAATTGTTACGCTAACGAATCAATACTTGTTCGATAATTCAAGTTCCTTAAAAACCACTGAATTGGAAGAAAATAAAATGAAAAGAGCCATCGGGGAAGATGCGTGGCTCATCACGCGAAAGCGGCGTGTTCCCGGTCCAATTCTGACCCACATGTATCTTGAACTTATCGAAAGTGTACCGGGAAATATTGTACAACAGAGTACAGCTCTAATTACTGCTTTTCAAGCTATCGCTGCAGAGCGTGTTCTAAAAGCACAAAGCGTTCTCTCTAAAGTGTGACCACCAACGATAGAGTGACATGATACCATATACTGAAGAAGAAAGAAAACCATCGTTAGACTCAAATGGGACGTAACGAGAACGAATAAAACATCTCTCTTTGAAACGTCAGGTTTCTATCAGCAAGAGATACGGTGAAAGCCAAATGGCCACATATCTTTGGCGCCAAACGCGGTTGTTCGGTTCCAAACGAGGGGGAAACCGCTGACCAAAGTCTTGTACCAAGTCCCACTAATGCCCAGTGGGCATTACTTTATCTTATTACCTCATTTTGTCTTATTTTCCTTGCTTTATCTGATTTTATCTTACCTTTATAATGTCCCAGCAAGGCCTAATGCCCAAAAATGCCCAGTAATGCCCAGTAATGCCGCAAATCTGTACACCACAATGCCCTCAGCGGTTTCCCCCTCGGTTCCAAATTAGATACGAAAGTGAGGGGAATCTCTGGTCCCGTTAAATAAAAATCAAATCCTCCGACGATCTCGCGGGGATGATTGGCCTCAGCCGCTCTTAGCGCGCGCCAAGAATATGAAGACGAGAGACTGCGACGGCAGACATTTAGACGACACAGACAGACAGACAGACAGACGAGAGACTTTTTCACAACATTTAATAAAACGCTATCAACTATGTATGCCTCTTTTTTACTCAAATACTCTAAAAGTTACTTACATACGTGTATATAATCTTTTATATGTTTATCCTTTTTTTTCTTCAATGCCACGCGCGCGGACGTGTCACATCCCTCACGCGTTTCGGATACACCCCATCCCCCTCCCGTCCCGGCGCGTTTCTCGAAAACGCCTCGTCACCCTCGCCCCTTTTCCCCCTCCTTTGCTCTATCAATCAGCGATTTCTACCTTTCGCTCGTTTTGTTAGGCACCGATCATCGACGATGAACACAGTGAGGTACGCCAGCGCGATCAGGGAGCGAAAAGGAAAAAAAAAAGGAAAAAGTAGAAGAAAAAGGGTGCCTCGCAAACCTCGGGAACTGACACGTCCGGCTTCGAGTGTTATATGTATATGTATACGTGTACGTGTGAGAATTGTGTGTGCGTGCGTGTGTGGGTGTGTGTATGTGGCGCGCGCGCGCGCGCGTGTAAAGGGTGTGTTTGTGTATTTATTTACGCACGTGTATAAATTTAATACTATCGTCGTATCGTTAACGCTTCGCTTATGCATAAAGTGCTTCGATTAATCGTGGACACTGCGATCAACGTCCCGGGATGCGCTAAAGAGAGGTCCGTTTCTCTTGAAATGTCTTCTACGGGGATACGATTGATTGTGGGTAGGGGGTTTTCCGGTTTCGGTGGATGACGGGTGTGCAAAAGAGTAAGTCGGCGGTGATGGCGGTGCGGTGTGTCCCCTCACGAATCCTCCCTCTCAGCCGTTCCTTCCGTCGCGGAGAGCCGAGCCTGTCGCCTCAAGCGCGAATTTCCCTCTTCCCCCCCCCTTTCCTCTTGAGCTTCCTCTTCGCCCTTCGTCCTCCCGAGTCTCTCCTGCCGTATTCGCGTCCTGTCCGAATTTCACCACTTCCGCACCTCCGGGAGGGTGGGCTCCCTCCCCTTCGTTCAGGGCGGAGAGATAATCGCGCGACTAAAGTCGTATATAATTACGTAGGCACCGTAATATCAGTTACAAATGTGTTCAACAATTTAAAATGGGGAACTTCAAATGTATCGAGCGCCAAATTATAAAAGTTATGATTGCTCTAGACGGTCTCTAGATAATCGCTATATGTATATATTTTTATATGTATAGATGTATATATATATATAATTATAGAAATATAATTTGGGAAAACACATGGTACAATATGCTGATAACGTATATAAAATTAACTTTCCGTTCAATCAAAACCAATTGCTCGACCGTACCGCCATTTCTGATCGTGACGATAAAATAATATCATTTATAAAAATAAAGAAATAACAATTGTATACGCTCCTATAAATACATTATATATTATTAAAGGATATACTTATATAATTTTAAAATATATCATTTTACATGCAATTTTATATATATATATCATTTTTTTATACATGCATAATTATAAATATAAAAGATCGCCCGCGCGAGCAAAAGTGCTTCTTTTCGAAAAAATATTCCTCTGGCGCTCGACACGTTCGAGATGTTCACGCTTCGGAATTCGCGAGAGAAGAAAATCGAAATCCGCGCTTCGGTCGTCAATCGTCACTGGAACATTCGCAGCTTCTACATTGACCGGCGTAAAAAAAGTCCCATATAATTTATCTCTTAACCTACGAACTTGGCGCTGAACCGTTCTTCCTTCCTTCCTTTCTTACGTTTTTTTTTTCCTCCGTACGCACAAATATCACAATCGCTCACGTTTCACGCTCGCCTACGAATGTGTCATGTGCACGCGTGTGCTATTCTCGCTTTACATTCTGTTGTTCTTGTTGTCATTATCCTCGCCGCCCGAAGGCGGCGACCGACGAAACGCCGTGTCCCCGCTTCGTTCGTGTCTCGCTTCCAAAGTTCCGCTCTAGAGCGCGATTCGGCAGCTCTAACGATTCGAGAGATCCCAAGTCCTCACTCTGGAATTTCGCCCCCACCGGGAGATGCGGCGCACTTTGCGGAATCTTAAATTTCTTTTTCTTGTCGCAGCATCGCTCGCCACTTAAAAGCTTGGACGTGAGAAACCGAGAATAAACAATCACGTAAACCTTCAATCTAATCGGAGCTCTATTTCATAAATTTCGTTATAAAATATTAAATAAGTTGTATATATTTTTATTAAACGTATATAGTACTTATATGAGAAAGGTCATATAAATATTATATAAGTCCCGATATAAAAATATCGAATACAGATTTAATATTTGTATACATGTATCTATAGGTATATAAATTTCGATATACATTACATTGTGCACAATATACTTTATATTGCATACAATATATATAAATGATATATAAATCTTCAAAATGCACCTGCGTATGTGTGTATGTGTACTTGTATGTACAGTGCCGGTCTCGGCAACATTGGCGCGCCCTGAGCAAGATTATCGTGGCGCCCATTCAAATTCAAGGGCTCGAAATTCTTGAGAAAGAAAAGACAAGCTGACAATATCGAACGACGAGCTCCATTTTGTTTTTATATTTTAGGGAATCTCTCTCACTCGCAAACTAGGTGAAACCAGGCAGCGGCGCCCCTGCAGATTTGGCGGCCTGGGTGATCGCCCAACCGCGTCCCACCCGAACGCCGGTACTGTGTATATACCTGTGTACATGTGCATTCCAGAACGACTCTCTCTCGAATTAGAGCGAGCGCAGATTCGCTCTAGATCGATACATTATCCGCGTACGCAGCCCCTGTGGACTCGAGGCTCGTCTAAAAGGACACGCGACCCGCTCCCAGGTCGGTCGACCCTACGCTTAAAGTTAGGTATTATAAACTGCAATCTATAAGCTGATCCCATGTGTTATTTCTTGGTCACAACCTCGTTGAAATCTTTTCCCACCATTGCTCACGGATCGCTCTCGAACATCTCCGACGAGAATCCCGAAGCTCGGAGGCCGCTACCTCACAGACCTCCCAGGCCCAGAACCCCGTCGTCGTCTCGTATGACGTACATCGTCGTCGACCTGCACCGGACAGGTCACTTCGACTCCGCGATTTGCTGCACCGTTAAATTTTGCAAAGTCAAATTTTACTCGAGTTAACTTTTAACCGCCGTGGAGACCGTGGCGGCCTGGGAATAATAAAAAAATGGCGTTGCGAATTTAACAAGCGCATCACTTTTCCGCACTTGCATCGCAAACAAGAATCAATTCTCGAAGGGATTGCAAGATTGCGAAATCTTTATGTCGCGGAGTGACTCAAGCAGCCCGTTTGATCCTCAGGATTGAGGATGGCGCCGGCGATGACGTCGCGAGTCTCCATCCCGGGCGGACGCACACGTAGCCATAAAATTCCCTAACAATCTCTGGGCGAGATCTCTCAAAAGAACGCGATGCTCTGACCCCGGGAGACCTCCCATCTCCCTCGGAAGGCGCTACGTTCACCCCTGTTGACGCATCGCGCGGGAGAGTGAACAATCCCGGAATTCCTTTCTCTGTCTAGATTGTCCTCGAAGTCCTCGTTTTCGAGATTATCGCAAAGCTGGAAGAGATCCGAAGGATTTCGATCTTCCAGACTTTGTAGACGTCGAGCCATCAAGATCGTTCACGGAGTGCGTCGAGTGTCCCCATATTCAATGGAATCCATCCTCGGAACGATCCTGGACGAAGAGCTCGAGGGAATCGCACTGTCGGGCGCCAAGGGCCGCGTTCCTCGTTCCCGAGCTCGTCGTGCGGGCAGCAAAGGGCTTCGATTTCGAGAAGATCAGCGGAGATCTTTCGGCGCGTACTGAGCATCCCCAGCGCTTGTCCTGGACAGTCACCTGCGAGGTAGGCTTCCTTCATCCTAGGCAGACACAGTCTCCACCATGGACTTCTTGATGATCTCGCCGAAGTTTTCGTCGCAGTCCTCGGACGCGCCATCGGGCTGTTGCTCGCCAGTAACCTGGCCGGGCTCGATCATCTCCTTGCCGGCCGTGCCGTGAGTACCGTAAGTACCATGGTGCTGCTGCGGTTCGTGCATCTCGCCGTAGTACGAATACCTGCCGCTAAGGAGTTCTGAGAAAGGCTCGAGTTTGCCCTGCATCTGCTGCACCACCGTCGCGTTCATCGGCTGCACCGAGTTGGTGAGGTTCGTGTACTGCGCGGTACTCGCGGCGTCGTCCTGCGCGAACACCGTCACGTCGTAGGACGAGTGCTGCTGCTGCTGTTGCTGCTGCTGGCTCTGCGACGGCGGCGGCGGCGGTGGCTGCGGCTGTGGCATTTGGTGCACCTGGCCGCTGCAGCCACCTTGCAGAGCCGTGCCCGCGGCGTCCTGGGGCCCGCCGTAGGGCCCGTAGTGCGCGAAGGCGGCCGGATTGGGCGGCGACTGGAACTGCGGCGGTTGGAACTGCGGTACACGCGACGTGGACGGTAGACTTGCGTATGGCGATCCGTAGTCCTGGTACGAGGACTGCTGGAAGCCCATGCCGCCACCGCCACCGCCACCGCTGCCGCCATTGACGGCGCCGCCGCCTTGCACGCCGGGCGAGAAGCTCTGGAAGGCCTGGCCGAATTCCGGGTGCAGCTTCCGTTGCACGACGACCGACTGGCTGCTGTCCACCGCGTCTTCGCTCGCATAACAGTCGTCCCTGATGGCATACAAGTCCAGACTGTCCTCCCGCGTGCCGGGCACTTCCGGTTGGCAACCGGCCACCCCGGCGCCGACACTCTCGTGACTCGGGTCGTAGTGCAAGGTGGTGAATCCACCGCCTCCCCCGGGTCCCGTACCCGGGATCGCGCACGGATCGCCCACAGTGACGTCCATCCCCAAGGAACCGATGTCCCTCAGGGGACGGGCACCCCTACCGCTCTGCCCGTGATTGTCCGCTACCTGATCGTGATCGCCGCCACCGTCCTCGTCGCGCTGCTTCTTCTCCAGCTCTAGTCGCATCAGCGTGTGGATGAAATGCGTTCGCACCCGCACCGGATTAAATTCGATCCTGCCTGTGCTGTTCGCGCAGCCATCCCGCGTGCAGCCGCAAGGGAAACCCGGTCGGTCCACCTGAAAATCGATTTCGCAATGAAAAATCGTTTCTCACTCCTCTGAATCAAGCGTCGGTCTTTCCTCTTCGCAACTGAGGAAATATCGAATCCTAAGCTTTATTCTTCAACTTCAATCAGTTTAATGAATCTGAACCGAGTGGAACGTGTTAACAAACGGGAAGATTAATCGCTGGAAGGATTCGATGCAACGGCGGTCTTGGGAAATTTTAACAGATTAATCTCTCAAACGCATTGATCTTAAGGTGGAGAAAATATTTCACGCGAATTTTCAGAAGTTCTTGAACAAGTAGATCAGAACCACATCTTAATTTTTCATTTCGCCTTCAATCAAGTTCAAATTTCCTTAAATTTGATTTATATCTGGATGTACTCGCTCTCCTTCCAAAACGACTCTGTTAGAAACGAGAGCTCAATTATGGCGTTGGGCTATTTAATTAATTTATAAAAGTGGAATGTTAATTTTACTCATGTTCTGCGAGTCTCTCTCTCTCTCTCTTTAATAATTAAAACAGGAGAATAATGTAGATTTGTCACAATGCAGCTTTTTACCAATATGAAATTAAATTAAATACACACATTGTATATGCTCGCTTTATAAATTACTTCAAGTGTACATATCGCGCCTCTTATCCTGTTTATTCCTTTATATATTTATAACAGTTTAGCGGTCATTTAAATTATCTCGCATATTCATTCTGTTGTGCCCGCTGCAAGACACTTACACTACCTTATCTTTCATCTTTGCATATACACATATATTTATATGTATATCTCTTTACATATATTTTTATATTATTTTATATACATATATATACAAAATATATGCACAATATGTAAATGTGTAAATATTCATACTATGAGACATGGACAAATATATCTCTTATCGTCTTATCTTTATTATTTCAAGCTCGCGCGAGTCTATTGTGTGTATGCCATGGATGTTACTCGCAAAGTTTCAATCATTGCTCTATGCAACACCTCTCTCTCTCTCGCTCGTTCGCTCGCTCTCTCACCTGACATTTTACGTTGGCCCTGCTACAAGGACAACTCTCGGGATCGCAGTATCCCTTGCAGCCGCATCCGCAGTGTTCCCTGCTGGCGCGGATATCGCGGCACTCGTCCTTCTCGACGGCGTCTATCCTCCGCACACCGGCGGCCCTAAGAAGTGCCCGGCGCTGCCACGTGGGCACCGGTTGTAGAAAGTAATAGCTATCGATGTCGAGCTCCTCGTTGTCGCTGGGCTCCTCGTCGGTGTCGTCGCTCGGGTCCTCCGAGCTCGACGCCGTCTCGGTCACGCAATTGGTCGCGCAATTGCGCTCGGAGCGCAACTGCGCGAGGCGCGCGCGGTGGATCCGCCTCTGTTCGGCTGCGTGCTCCGACAACGAGAACCTCTCCGCGTGCGTGTGCGTCGCGCTCATGCCCAGAGTGCTGCCGCCCTGAAACCGGGAGGATCGATCTCTCGCGTATCTTGTATATATAAATCCGCACCACCATCGCGCGTTTATTTACCTATTCAGTCAGATCGGGATCGATCTTTCGGAAACAACGACTGTAAGAGGATGAAACGCTGGTAGTGCGTATCGTTGATTAAAATAGACTTTTTCGTTATTTCCAGTCGTATGTCAAACTTGTGTGAATTTACAAATCGACTAATAGCAAAAATGATGGTAATAAGAAAAAGTTAACAGTGACGCCAATGTATAAAAATACACTGAGCAATAAAATAATGGTATTACGCGCTATTGTACGTCAGATTGGTAAAAAAAATTGCTGAGCTTTTTTCCCCATATGGCGATTATGGAATCCCACATGGAACCTTACGCGTAACCAATACGATGCGTTATGTCACAATACTACTAGAATTTTATTGTAAAGTAACGCTACACGTAAAAGGGAAGGGACTCGGTGTTTTATACAAAGTCGATAGCGAATATTGCGGTATTGTTGAATGGTAGTATAAATGATGTGCGAGATAGAGGGAAGAATTCAAAGAGGAGTTGTCTTGCGTGAACGCGATTGAAAGGAAGAGGGATCGATCGTATCTTATGTATATGCATATACATATATATATGTATATATATAAATTCGACCGTTCACGTGGTGGGTTTTACAAACGACGACGAGATTTCCCGTCATAAACAATTTTGGACGCTTGTTATTCATCCTCCCAGTCCGTGCAAATAGAATCTCGATATCTTGATAAACGCGATGAAACAAAAAAAATATCTCCGCTTCAATTATTTACCCGCGCTTATATTACAGAGGGGCAGAAGAAGGTGGGGGTTAAAGGTACATAAATAATAATAAATAATTAATGTGTAAAAGGACAAGTGGGTGCTTTATAACTGGCGATACCGCGAAGCGTATAGATTGCGAAGAGAAGCAACAGCGAATAAACAGACAAACGAGTGCATTTTCCATATTCATACTCTTCCGGTACAATGGAATGAAAATACACGAAATTTAAATGCGGCAACCAGTGAGACCACTTACCGCTACGAGGCTACGCGTAGCTAGGCGGTCCGGATATAGACATGAAGGCAAGACGTATCGCGAGATAGCACAACGGTCGCTCGCGAGCTGGGAGGAGAGTTAAGACAAAAACCACAATTTTCGGACTTACCTGGGACGGTACGCAGGTGAAGCCCTGCGCCCTGGGGAAGTAATAGACCGTCACCGCGTCGAACTGAATGTTGCGCTTCTTCTTCAGGGGCTCGTCGACGTTGCCCCGCGACTCGTCGCTCTCCATGCAATCGGTCAATCTGCGCTTCAGGTTGCTCTTGGCCGGAAGCGTCCGGAAGCTCGTCAGGGGCAGCTGGCCCGGCGTCCCGGGCGTCCCCGAGGACGCCGCGTAGCCGTCCAACTGGCTCACGCCTGAAAGACGCGAACGCCGTGTCACGAAGTAGCAAATCTCTTACGGAGATCCCTACGAGCGGGAAGGCAGGGCGTGACGCAGAAATTGCGAGAACGATCCTCATCGAAAAACTAGTCAAATTCTCCTCGCGAAACTTGGAAATCGACATCGGGGGATTAGGGAGGAGGAGAGACAACGCTGGCTCTTTCAAAGGAGAAGAGTCTCCCGCGAGTCAAATAGGGAAATGCCTTCGTCGTTAGATAACGAAATCCCTCATTCGTCCTTCGAGGCAGGTTTTATCGCGACGAGATATAATTCGCGCTCAGACGTTGAGGCTGAAGTCGACTGGTTGACATTTTCGCCGGGAAAAGTTCACTCTGATTTTTATCGGGGAAGCAACGCCTTTCCCGCTTGTTCTGGGACACCCGGTGTATCGCGCGTTGACAATCGATGCGAGGCTTATCGAGTTGCGCTCTGCTCGCTCGCTCGCTGGACAGCTTCGAGCAGCAAATGCGAGACTAGATTGGCACAAGGAGAATCCAGGCGGGGTCTAAAAAGTTCGTATTTTCGTACGGACGAATGTCTAAAGGAATCTTTAAGTTGATTGTCCCACTAGAATGACTACCTTTAGAATTGTACACCAGTCTCTTTATTAAAAGATTGCACTAAAGCAGCTTTCGCCGAGAGCTTTTGTGAGAGATGAGATAATAAGACGCTCTTCGTACAGACAATTCAGACATCGAATAATTAAAATGTTAAACATATAATTCAGAAATTGAATATAAAATAGGATAGACGTACGGCATCTCGTAACATCGATGGTAGGAAAGTCATTGAGAAAATATAGGATGTAAAATGGAAACTAGAGTGGGACGGTTCTTGTGCCAAGAGTCAGCGTGGTTATTGTGAAACACAATGCGTGCATTAAAAAATCCACTAAACCCTGTTAAAAAGGGTTGAAAAATAAATTTCGACTTCGACAATTAATTCGCATTCGTTCCCAACAACTCTCGATACTTTGACGAATAAATTCCAAATTTGGGCATATCGAAACAATTCGCAACCAGACGCATTCAATCAACCAACCACAACTTTAATGACAATTTCAGCGTTCGACACTTCCGACCGAAATCAGTAAATAGAGAAAGAAATAGAGAAAGAAGATTCGAGATTCTTATGCAAGAGCGCCGAGTGGGGATGCGAGTCTTACCTTTCTCCTTGTCGGAAAGAATGTCGTCCGGTAGCCTGTCGAGGAAGGAAGTCTCCGAGTCGCTTTCCGGTGCAGGCGCAGGTCCGGGATCACCGGGGATCTCGTTCCCCAGACCGGAGTCGCTCCCATCGGACCTGACCTCGTCCCTGGCGCCTGTCGCCAAGGCCAGGCTCTCGGCCGAATCCTCTGTGTACGCTTCCGGCCGGTCGGCCTCCAGTCTCGTCATGATCGGCGCCATTGCCTCCACGCAGCACAAAGCGACTCCCTCGGAACAGGGTAGCTGGTCGGACGCCATGTCGACGTCGCGCAGCTCGTGGCGGATGCTCGTGATGGGCGACACCTCCGAACTGTCGGAGCCTGTTTCCGTTTCCGTCTCGGTGTCGACGCCCTCGGCAACATCCGCGGAGATCTCCGGCGTCTCCTCCGGCGAGCTCGGCATCGTCTCCGACGAGTCGAGCTCGTTGGACACGCGGCTGTCCTCGGCCGAACTCGCCAGAACCACCTCCTCGTCCTCCTCGAGCTTGCCGATCACCGCGACGGGCGCGGACTCGTCTTCCCTCTCGACCTCCCTCGAGGCTCCGCTTTCCTCGGTGTTCTCCGATTGCGATGAATGCCCCGCGGCCTCGCCGATTCGCTCCAATACCACCTTACACTTCTTCAGGATCAGTCCATTGTCCGGACTACGAGCACCCTCCGCCAGCTCGCACGTTTTCGATCTAGTCATCGGGGTTGACGAGCTGCTGCTCTGCGAACGTTGCTTCTTCGGGCTCTTCTCCTGAACCTCCGGAGTCTCGGCGAACGAATCGCGCTCCTCCTCGACGAAATCCCTTCTCTCATTGGCAAGAGGCAAACTCTCCTCGACGTAGTCCCATATGTTCTCGTCCGTATTCATCAGGGTACTCTTCTTTAAATCATCCTGTTCGATGCGATTCAGCACCACGGATAAATTCCGACAGACGGGACTCGACAATACCGCAGAACTCGTCGTTTCGATAACGCACTTTTTGGTCGGAGTGCAAAGCTCGCTTTCAGCGTACGTGTCTCCGACGTCGTCCCGACGCGACTCCGCCGTCCCGTTCAGACTGTCGCTTCTCGAGAACATCGAAGAAGTCGCGTCCGGCGTTCCGAGCGTCGTAATCTCTCCCTCGCTGTCGTAATCCATCTTTTGGCTCGCACAGTCGTTTAACGTGTCCTCGACAACGCCGAGGACGCTGCTCGTGCACTCCGAAGGACCTGTGTCGATCCTGCCGATCGCCTCCTCCCCCTTTTCCTGCTTCCCAGGATTCTGCTCGACGTCCTGAATCTTCGAGTCGGGATTCGCCGCGAACGATCCCGCCGGGACGTCGTTACACCTCGGCGCTATCTTACCGTCAAGCTCGTCCCCGAAGAGACAGGACTCCGAGGTCAGGGACACCTCGCCCAGAGTCCTCTCCCGCAGGCTCACCAGCACCGGCGACAGCCTTCTGACATCGTTCCTCAGCTGAGTCGCCTGCTCCTCCGAGATCTCGATGCCGATTCTCTTGATCTCCGCGCCGATCGGCAGGAAGTCGCCCGGCCTCTTTCTGGAAACGTCCGGCGACGCGGGCCTCTCGGTCCCATTTTCCCACACGTCCGAACACTTGCCGCGGTCTTCAGGCTCGCACGTTCTCGGCGAGCCTTCGAGTTCCTGAAGAGTATTCTCCGTCGGCTTTGCGTCGATCTCGTCCTTCCCACCTCTCTGCTCCTCGCTGGCTTTCTTTCCTATCGTCAGACCCATACTCGCTTCTTTCTCTTCTTTTTCCTCTCCTCCCTGATCCTCTTCCGACTTATCGCTCGATTGTCCCGCTCCCTCGTTCTCCGGTTTCTCGTCCAGTCTCTCGCACACCATCACCAAGTCCTTGCGCGAGTCCCGCACGACGGATGGACGCGCCGCGGAATCATCGTCGTCGGCGCTCGTTATCGCCGTCGTTATGGTTGTTGTTGTAGCGCCTGGCGGTGCGTCCTCCGTCCCGATCTCCACTGAGGTGGAATCCTCTTGGGCCTCAACGCAACAGTCCTGACGGGCCAAAGGCGATTCCATCTCGGGTGTTTCTGCCATCTGCAAGTACCAAATTCAGTTGAAGATTAAAGGACGGCTCTACGTTCTCGACGAAGGCTTAATCGATCAGGAGTTCTGCGCGGCGTTAAGGACGATGGTAAAATTATCGAGGAGTCACAATGGCCCGTATATCTCGCGCGTAAATAATAAAGATCGCTGAAACGGAAGCGCCATGTATCGTATAAAAAAATGACTAAGTTTTCTACACGTACAATGTGTATAAGAATTAATTGTACATATTGTGTGTTCGTCGATATTTCTGTGTAAGTAAATACGTCAGCGCTGCCAGGGAAGACGTGCGCAGGCACTGCGCGAAAGTAAAAGAGGTGTATTGAAACGTCGAGATGTTAAATAAAATATAAATATTCAAATTCCGCGAAGACGAAATGAAAACGCAGGGGGCGAGGATTTATATGCAGGTCGGGATGAAATTGCACGTTCTCGCGGAGTATAAAACGGGAAGGTATCGAAATAACCGGCGTAGAATACAGATTAATTGGGTCGTTACGTTCACCGCGGGTACAACTTTTGGCCCGCCCTCTCTCCCCCCGCGGCAGGCAGTTGATTTCACCGGTGTTATAATCAACGATCATTGCGCTCTACCTTTTTCGCGAAAATAACATAAGCAAGTCCAGAGAGAACGGAGAAATCAATAATCCGCGCACTGATATCGCGCGCACCGTTGCTAAACCCAGAAGAGAATAAGAGCGAGCGAGCGAGTCAGAGAGAGAGAGGAGGGGGGGGCGGGGGGCGGGAGGGAGGGAGGAAGAAAATATCGATGTGCGGGAAGGAAAATCAATTTCCTGGAACCTGGCGCAATCCCTGCCCAAAGCCGTTGCTCTCCAAAACCCTTTCGATACATTTCTCCTATCGGCCCCGAATACGAGATACCGCGGGGGAGCCTACATACAATCTTGGCCGGAGATTATTGATTCAAAGCGGCGGTGAAAGGGGGAGGGGGCGACAGGGAGCACCTCCGTTCACGTCGTGGACGAGCACTACGCGCGAATTTTACTCCCGGGGACCCCTAAACCCGTTAGCAGGCCGTCGAACGGGTCGTAGACAAGAGGGGGGGGAAGCTCTTTTACCTTCAAGTCGCGCGATCCTTCCTCCAGCCTGGTCCAGCTTTGTGCCCCTCGACTGCGGCGAGGGTTCGCGATCGGAGCAGCCCCGCGATCTCTCTCTCTCTCTCTCTCTCTTTCTCTCCCCCCTCTTTCTCTGTCTCTTTCTCTCTCTCTCTCTCTCTCTTTCTTTCTTTCTTTCTCCGGAGGGAGGAGGTCGTCTTAAGTTGTCTCGCGACTCAGGCTACCACCGTCGTCGTCCCGTTCGCGAGGTCTCGCGAGATGCCGATGATACGGTCCCATTGCAGGACCAGACGCGTCCTCGTGCGAGGGGGACGACGAGCGGCTCGGGCACAGCATTCGCGATTGGCGAGGTGATCCGGGGACGCGACCGGCCGAGGAGGAAAGGAGGCCTCTACCGGCTCGACGGCACTCTTATGAGAAACGCGCGAGATTCACCCCTGGAGATTCATCCGTGCGCGCAGTCGGGGATTCCCCGAGGTGTCCGGGAGCCCCGAGAAAAAACGAGAGCCGACGTGGCTCGAAGGAGTAGCTTGAAGTGAACCAGCGTGAAGGTGAAGGAGGCGCTCGGAGTTGCTTAGCGTTTGTCTCTAGCGAGGAGTCCCGGTCTGCGACGCGGAGGAAGAACGTACGGTTCGAGGAAGTAACTGACGTCTTTCCGGGAAAGCGACGAACGTCGGCGGCAACGGGGAGGCGCGACGATGACGAGGAGCGTGTCGGAAGGACGAAGGGGGATCCTTGGACTGAGTTAGCGAACGTGGTGTGGAGAACGGTGCGGAAGTGGTGCGGCGCGTTCGACAGCTCGGAGCAGAGTGAGCGGAGGCGGCGTCGGCGTCATCGACGACGCCGACGTCGACGTCGACGCCGACGCCGACGTCGCGCTCTCGGAACCCCTCGGCTCGGCTCGACCCGACTCGGATGGAAGACACGCCGAGGACGGTGTGTTGGTGAATGCGTAATAGAGTGCTGCACACGGCGCGCAGCGGTTCTCAAAGCGCACACCCGGTAGAGCGGATTAGTCATCGACGGCGCGGGCCGGTTCTCCTCGCCGCTCTTTTCGTGGTATTTTTAATTTCGCCGAATGACGCGCGACGACGCGCAAATCTTCCTCTTGTTCTCGGCGAGGCAAGAAACAAATCGCGCGGTGTCGTCCTGAAGGTCTGCGTCCACGACGCTTGGTCCAAGTTCTAGTTCCGAGAAACGTGTAGCCGATCAACTAGCAGCCTTAATGGAAGTTGATTGGCTAAACATTTCTCGAAACTAGAACGTAGACCAGGTTCCAGCATCGTGGACACAGGCCTCAACGGCAAGATTCTGAAGCTTGAGCCGCGTTGCGGAAAAGATTGTCGAGTCAAAGGATGAGACAGAAGTGACGTAATCAAGACGGCGCAGCTAACGAGTAAGCTCTTAAAGGTCATTCGAAAAAATGCGGGAATAAATTGAAATTTGGCGCTTTGCTTCGAACGGATTTTGTTTTAAACGTTCAGCTCCTGCGCCGTTTCTTCTTCTCTTTTCATGGAACGTGCGGTCGCACTTGTCCCTCGATGCTACGTCGAGCAAAATGGTTCGAGTTACATTCTTCCCGACCGCGGTCTCGGCTGTGCAATGCGAATTGACAGTTCTACAATGATGATGCATTCATTCGCCAAGTCTAATTATGCCAATGATGCACGCGGCGCGGATCGACAAGGAGAAGCGTAGTTTATTCGCGAAGAAACATGCACGCTGATCCGCTCGTGCACGCTGATCCGCTAATCGCGTGAGAAAATGATCCTGTTCGCGAACTGCTGAGCGCACGAAATTAAATTAAATCGAGTCATCATGTAGAACAACTCCCGAGAAAAAGAAGAGCGTGTAAACACGTCGCGCGATTGTATAAAAATCAAATAATCCGAATAAACGGACGGTATTACGTAAATTATATGTTCCCTGGCAATTTTCCACTTTGCAATTTTTTTACAAAATCTTCCCAAGAGAAGATAAATATTTGTGCTTTTTTTGCACCGAATTTAAATAAAATAAAATAAATATTTTCATTAAACATTTATAGGGTACCAGTAAACTCGGCAAACGAAAAATCCGAGCTAACGTATTGTACAAACAATGTATAAATGGCCAATTAAAATGCATAATCCCACCTCGCAAATATTTGACTGACGGAGTTCGCTACAGATTTCGCAACTTCTCTTTTTTTCCCCGATTCGGGGATACGAGCGAAATGTCGCGAAGGCGGACGTGGGAGACGAAGGACGGGGCGAGACGCGTACGCGCGTACGATAATGATACACAATAATAACAGAAATGGACTGACGTAAGCGAGACAAGCGCGGTGACGCAAGCGTGCGCGATGACCAACGGCGGTTTCTTGCCGATACGCGGCAGCGCGATCTCGCCGGGGACCCGAAGATACCGCTTCGACGGACGTTCTCCATCGAGGTCAACCCCGAAGCCGTGGTTCCCGCGGTCCTGCCTGCCTCGTCGCCGAGGAACTTCACGCGCCTACTCGATTCGCGATTGCGATCGATCACTCTTCAGCGGCAGCCGCGCTTTTCGCGAGACAGTGCTATTAAAAATTTGCAATTTCATTTTAAACCAGGGCTCGTAGTTGCACATCTCGGGCAGATTTCGTAGACGACGCCTACTGTCCCCCCACCACGCCGAGTCGCTGGGCCTCACTACGTAAGACGCTGGGCCTCACGCGCGATCGGCGGCTCGGCCGGCGAGCCTCGATCGATATTGACCGTAGTGGGGGGGACAGTAGGCGTCGCCTACGAAATATGCAACTAACTCCGAGCACTGTTTTAAACCATTCCTAGGTCCTGCAGGAGCAGCGGCGACCCAGGAGTGGTTTAAAGTGACTCGAATTGAGCATAATTTGACACGAACTTAACGGCGCGCAGGGAGGACGCGGTAGCTTGGAGAACTGGAGGGCATCTTTCCCCGAACGTTCGCGGCTAAATGAGGGACAATGCGTTTTGAATACACGCTCCGGTAATATCATCAGTATTTCCAGTCAAAAATACAGAATCGTGGACACCAAGTCCGCGTGGATAGCGTTGGTACCGGACTCGCGGTAGCGTCCAGCGATTGTTGCCTATCTCTTGTTCTCCCTCGTTTTCTGCCCTTCTCTCTCCGCCCTCCCCCCCTCTCTCTTTCTCTTTCACTCTGATCTGTATTTTTTTCCTTTCCATCTGACGCACAGGCGTACTCGTACGCGCGCGCACACGCATACACGCGTCACGTTTGTGTGCGGTTCTCTCTATCTCTCTTTCTCTCTCCCCCCCCTCTCTCTTTCTCGCTCTCTCTCTCTCTCTCTCTCTCTCTCTCGCTCTCTCGCGGGCGGTTCAACGAACGAGAGAGCGCAGCGCTTGCGCGCGCCGCGGGCGCCGTAATTGTCGCTACGCTCCGCGAAACTAGAAGGCGAGCGGAGTCTTCTCCGTGGAATTTTAGCGGCCGAAGAACAGAGCCATCCTCCTACGGGGAGAGAGCACGGCGGGCCGGGCACCGGTGCCCGCGTCTCGTCCCTCTCTCACGCCGAGACGCCCGAGAGATTTCCGGTGTAGCGAGAGCCGCGCCGAGTTTCGCAGGATTATTGATCGGCGTTCGCGCGAGTATTGATCCGCCTCCGGTTGGTGCAAAGTTACTCCGGATGCTAAATGCGCGTGACCGCCTAATGTTGGAATTTGCCCGATTCAAACCTGGCGCACTCGAGTCCGCGCGGGCGCCGGGGAAATCGGCGAGGGACGCGTTTTCTTTTCTCTTTTACGCTGGCACGGAGCACGGGACGACGAGGACCGGACGACGGCCGCGAAACTGGAAGCGCGTCTGGAAGCCTCAGCAACGGAAGGCTGAGACGCGACCTTTGGAGACAATCAGACATCGGTGCGACGAGTAATGGAGAATTTTTTTACAACGTTA